GGCAGAAGCAACAGGTTCGAGGACCTACGGGTTTCATCAAAATCAGGCCTTCAGTAAAGCAGTCATCCCCTGAGCCTACGCTTGCTTTCAAAAAGTATCCAAGGTGCCATCACCAATTCAACTGCTATACCGTTTCAAGCGGCCTTAACTTAAGCTCTTCTCCAATCAAGATGCTCACCTCCGGGTGGGGGCCGCATATGCTGCAGCACTCCAGGATCTGCCGCCCCACCAGCCGGAAGAAATCGAGGCTGGCCTTCCGCCACGTCTCCTCTGAGAGGACGGCGCACTCTGGTGCCCTCCGAAAGGCCTCCTGCTGTCCCTCCAGCAGGGCCCCGAACCCCGACTGGCCCCGCTGCATCTGCTTGAGCAGCAGCTGGAGGCTCTCCTGTACAACAATCGTCTGACGGCTCCAAGCGTACAGCCCCAAGTGCTCCCCGTCGAAGTGGATGGTGTGCTTCCTCGCGCATTTGCAGGAGTAGATCCTGGTGCGCACTGCTTGGCTCCAGGTCGAGGCATGCACCACCGCGTCCTGCCAGAGCTCCATCCACTTCCCACCGCACGGAGGCGGTTCGAGAGGACACGGCGCGCTCAGCATCCCGAGCTCTCCCAGCTCCTGAAAGTCCCTTCCTACCAGCTTGCTCACTCGGATCGGTCCGCATCTGAGCCGAGTCACCCACGGATCGTGAAAGTCCGGGGCGTCGCTCAGCTGGCTCAGCTTCGGCTGCGTCACCTGGACGGCCTGCGTCTCCTGAAGCATAACCGGGGCCCTCCCCTTGCCCCCATGCTGGCATCCCCGTTGGGCACCCTCCAGCGTGCAGCTGCCACAGGAGGAGACCCAGCATCGGATTGCTTCCTTGCCTAGCGCCTCCGCGGGCGGCTCCTGAACACTCTTGGGTGCCATCGCCCGGGGAGCCCCGCCCGCATGACTCCTATACCACTGCTTGCTCCTGCGCGCCCCCCTCCATGGCTCGCTCACGCCCGGCCCCTGGGTTTGTGATGATGCGGACGGCTCAGCTACTCCAAACAATTGCTGGTGCTCTTGACAGAAGCAGTCCGCACCAGCGCATCCGGCCGGCTCGTGGCGCTGTCCTGATATGAGGCCCATCAGGTGCGCCTCCGCCTCGCCGGCCCCTTCGGAGTCCACACGCGACTCGCTCCCCCCCGCCCTCCTGCCGATCAATGGCAGCGCTCCGTCCCATTGCTCCAACCACTGCCTCGCTGTACTTAGGGCATCCTGCCTAAGAAGCAACCCCTGTGCAAAATGGACCTGCCCCGCTCGGACGGCCAGGTTCGCAGCGATGACGTGGCTGCAGTCGTGCTGCGACGGACAGCCGTCCCTCTTCCCCTGGCAGTACCAGGCGCCCTCGACGCTCCGATGCAGCATCTTGTGAGCCGGGCTGACCCCCTTAGGGCTGCTCCTCACGGCAAAGAAGCGCCCCGTAGAGTCCGTACCCACCTGCTCGACCAGCCCCGCTCCCCGTCCCAACTGTCTGGCAGTGGGGAGGCCCCCTTGCTGCAACCCCGGAGCGCCGAGGGTCGCGAGCACCAGCTTGTGAACGCAAGCAGCGTCCTTGGCTAGCCTGCTGCGATTGCACGAGCAGTTCGAGGATCCCTGGCTATCCCACCAGCACTCCTCCAGCAACGCCTTCTCCTTGGTGGGCTTGCCGAGAGCTTTCGGCCTCGCTCGATTGTGATCCCAATGCGTCATGTAGAGCCGCAGGGGGCTGGCCTCACACTCGTCCACTCCAGCAGGAACAACTATGCGGCACGTGCCCTCCAGGACGCCGCTCAGGAAGAGGCCAGCTTGGGCCGGGATGCCGAGGCGCTCCTCAGGCTGCAGGTGCCAACTAGATCTTTCAGGCAAACTTCCTGACCGCTCTCGGAAAACAACCTCACGCCTTGCTCACAGTCGGAGCTGAACGAGCAGCTCAGAATCGCATCCGGGATTTTGCGCATTATCCCGCCTTTCAAGTGGCGGGCCATGAGAAATTCCATGAACAGCATGTAGTCGGTCCGTGTGCTCCCCCTCTTAGCGTGGGCACAGGCAAGACAGTGTGTCCATTGAAATCTCAGGGGACGGGCGCAATCGCTTGCAGACGCTCGTTGCATTGCAAATCATCATAGGTTCTATCAAGAAATTATCTGCACTCACCAGCATCTCGCGCGCGCGGCTGCCGGCTTGCATGCCCCTGTTCAATGCGCTCTCAGCTGCCGCCTTTTTCGGCTTCTTCCTGCTCACGGTGCTCTCGTTTGAGATCACAACCCCCTCCAGCAGCTCGTTCGTCAGCTCCAGCGTTTGCTTCCAGCTCCCCGAGGCCTGGCGCTCGAACAACAGCGCATCTTGCTCGCGCAGGCTCACGCTCTGAGCATCGGCGCTGACCTTCAATTCCCCCATCAGCTTGCCCACGCATCCTAGGCAAAGGATCTGCCTCCTCTGCTTGTTCTTGGGCACGCCGCAGCTGACCAAGTAGCCCTTCATCGCACACCTGCGGAAGCTCAGCCTCAAGCTCCCATCCGTACCGCCTGTGCCCTTCCAAACCTGCTGCCTGCAAGTGATGCACCTGCCAGAAATCTGCCCTATCTCCGCCGGTCGGACGCTCTCCTCGCCTATGTAGTAAAGGCCGCGTCCGATCTGAGCTAGATCCGAAGCCTGATACTGCTCGGTAGGGGCTGCCATGCTCGAAAACCCCCCTACATGCATCAGCATGCACGAAGGCTGCCCCTTGTGAACCAACTGGGAGCTCGACTGACACTGCCTACCTCCGACCATCTTTGCTCATCCTTCCGGCCTCTCTCTCTCCCTAAGTATGTCTTGCCTCTAGACTGGACTGCTGCCCGGGACGCGGAAGGCTCGAAATTCGATGATAACCGCTTCGAAGAGCTCCGGCGGGCCGCCGAGTTCGCTGCAGGGGGGCTGCTGGCAAATTCCTCTTCGGTACCGTTATCAGTCAGGTGACGCTAAGCCAAAACTCGAGTTTTCAGGACCGTCCGATCGATCGCGAGAACTTAGGGATTGGTAGGACGCATTCCGGCCGTCCGATAAGGCCGACCTTCATTTGGTTGCCCCACTTGCCCTAAAGTTCGCCAGCGACAACTTCGGCAGATCTAGCCGATCGAGTCGCGGCGCCGCCTTCGCCAAGTTCTGCAATGACACTACTACTTCTTTCTAGGGAGAGTACCAATCCAGGCCCAAATAATCCAGGCCCGAGTTTCAAGGCCGAATCCAGGCCGTTGATACTTCGTCCTGTCCGACACTCCGACACCCTTTCTAAACTGTTTTGCGGCTCAGCCCGTACCGGTGCCTACGGTAGCCATGTACCCCAGCCTAGCCAACCCCGCGGGGGTCTGTCCCACCTGGAAGATATGTACCGGGCCCGCGCGGCCGGAGCCGCGAACCNGACGCTACCATTTTGGTTGTGCTTAAAGTGGGCG